GCGTGGTATTGGCACACACTGAATATAAAACCCGACATGACAGATTAGGCCAATATCTGCATTGGAAAATCTGCAACAGACTCGGTTACAGAGATAGGACCTGTAACAATTTTATAGGACATTACTATACACACAGACAGAACAATCAAATTTGTCCAGAAATCGTGAGTAGAGACCGCAAAGACAAAATGTGCCTACTTATTGAGAAAGCAGTCCCTGCAGACTGCAATGTATCTTTGAAGATATTCAAACAAACTATCAAAATACAAGAACCTTGAAATCGAAATCTCAAAAACATGTGGGACATGAGGACATCAATAATACTAGTTGTAGTTGGAGCCCTCGGATTAATTGGAAAGCATTCCAATAGACTTATTGAAGGGATTCCTGGTAGCCCATGCCTTAAAGAAATAAAAAATTGTACTCACAAATATACCGCACACCTTACGAAGGGCTTTATCTATATGTGTGATCTTAGGTAGTTTTTTTTTGTTGTTGTTGTTTTTGTTCTTGTTGTTTTTTTTCTCATCAGAAACATGTTCCAGTGGTACTGGTGCTATCGCTGACATTCGATCTCTGGTTGGGACCCTGAAAGAAATGAGTATACACCAGAAATCAAAGGAAATTTTATTAATAATAATAATAATAATAATAAAACAATCAAAGCCAACCACCCAGACATTGTTATTAGAGACCACAAACAAAAAAGTGCCTCCTTATTGATATGGCAGTCCCTGCAGACTGCAATGTATCCTTGAAGATATTAAAAAAAGCTGTCAAAATACAAGGACCTTGAAATCGAAATCTCAAAAATGTGGCACATGGGAACATCAAAAGTCCCTGTTGGAGCCCTAGGATTGGTTGGAAAAGATTTCAGTAAACCAATTGGAGGGATTCCTGGAAGTCCATGCCTCAAAGAAATACAAAAAAATTCTTCTCATAAGTACAGCCCACACTTTACGAAGGGCGTTAACTATGTAATTTTTTTTTCAGTGGAAAGTGTCATGATGCCGTTTTTAACTTTAGGTCCCTGGGCAGAACCCAGAAAGAAATGTGTAAACGCCAGAAATCAAAGGAAATAATAATAATAATAATAATAATAATAATAATAATAGGCATGGCTCTCGTGCCTCAAATGTTGTTACGAACATGTTTTACTTTGGTGAATAAAGATGAGCTACAGTAAATATGCTGTTAAGTAAGATAGATTTGCTGATGATTTGCCCGACCCTAACCAGATGGGCGTGTCCCTTAGTGGCTGAGGCATTACGCAGTTCAGATTATGATTTGGAGTATTGAGGGATCCTTATGGTCGGGTGTCGAGAGGGTTGTTCAAATTATTTAGGCAGCCAAAGTGTCTTGGTAGTAACATCTAGATATTTGGGAACAACCTTAATTGGAGAACGTTTGAGAGGCTAAGTTACACAACATGGCGGCATTTCTTATCTGTAAAGTTATTCACTGCTTTTATCAAAATCTATCACCCAAGTATCACTCATTTGTCAGGGAATGTATCATCCGAACGCTGATGTTGATTGTCTGTTTCTGTCCAGATTTGAAAGAGGCAAATGAATAGATTAACTAGAACTCTCTTACAAAATAACAACAGCCGGACAAAAAAATTGTATTCACAGGTACAGCTCACACATTATGAAGAGTTTTATCTACGTAAAATGTGTGTGATCTTATTTCCTTTTTATCAAATGATCAGTGGAGAATATCATGGAGCCATTTTTGACCCTAGGTCACTGGTTGGTATACAACAGAAATCAAAGGAATAATAATAATAATAATAATAATAGTAGTAGTAGTAGTAGTAGTAAAATATCTGCTGACTACAATAAAACAACAAAGCATATTAAAAAAGACTAGCAACTACTCTAAAATGAAGGTTGCGATTGTCAGATTGTGGAAAATGCTGGTGTAAAAATGTTAAGGTCATCGCGGTAGTGATTGGGGAACTTGGCTCCATCACAATGAAGTTTAAAGTATATGTGGACCAACTTAAAATAAATATGAAATATATTTTTCGAACGTTACCAAAATCTGCCTTCGAAAATTACTGTCTGATGTACTTGTTATTTCCCTTGTACTCACGACATCTACTCAACTACCGTAATCCCACGATACATTCAAAATAAATGACATGAAGAACATAAGATAATAAAAGATAATTTTGGTCCAAACTGAAGTCATCGTTGTAGTGGTGGTGGTGGTGTTGGCAGAGCAGGGAACATTTATTGCAATTTATTCTTTATTCCTGCTTTAGGTTTAATGTTCTTATTATTTTGTCTTGCATGGATTAAATTTTTTTTTTTTTTTCGGATATCAGAATATTTTTTCTTCATCACGTAAATATTGATAGGATAAATTCTCAGTAATCTTAAGCAAAAATCTATATTTATTCTGGATTTTATTTTGTTTTTATGGCGCCAATATGTGAGATAATTTTTGTTGGGTTTTCGGTAAACGTTTAATTTAAAATCATTATCAATTCGCTTCAACATAATATAAAAGAACGGTAATATATTGTTTTATATCTGCTGTATAGTCAACATTGTTTACTCTATTTAAATATCATTTAATATTGTTTTCCTTCGATATATGAATAAAGCATCATCGATATTTTGTAAATATGTGGAAACTTTAGGTAAATTACTTTGGAGAGGAACAATGTGTAGAGAGTCTGCATGTTGATAAAATATATTAAAAATACTTTTATGTTCTTCCAGTATTCTAATAAGTTTCTACATAACGCAGATAGAAAAGCTTACATAATCCACATACACACACATACACACACGCACAAACATAAACTTTGATAAAACATAGCACACAATACTACCAACCAGCTCTTTTAGTGAAAGGATTTTATTCAAACTTAATATAAAATTTGACACAAATACTTATTAAAATAGCAAATACCATATAGATTGTTATAAATGTCTCAAGAAATACAGATATGAGATATGTAGAAATGTATATATAAGGTTTGATGAAGAGAAGAGAGAGATATTACATTTCCAGCATTTGTTGCTCATGTAATAAATCTGACTATAATTTCAACTTAATGCGTTTTTTTGATTAAAAGAGAAAAATGATTAAGACGAAGATACATTGAAAGATAAGTAAAACTTGTGCAGGTGCCATAGACAACTCTCTTTTCTTTTAAAAGTACCATCAATACATTGCGACATAATAAGAGACAATACAAATGAAAATAATGAAAGCCTCAATTAAATAGGTTAAGTTTAAAATTTCGTTACATCGAATTTCAAAATTTTAATTTAGGGACTAAATGTTTCTGCATTTTTAACTTTTCCGTGAAAAATTGTTACTGGCTGTAAATATAATATACGGCAGCTTAGATCCTCTGCTTTAAAAGAAGAAAAAAAAAAAAAAACGAGCTCAGATCAAAAAATATCGGAACCAGCGCTAGAAAATGAAAACTACAACACATAGCGTTTAATCTCCTTCGAAGTAGTCCACATATTTTATCCAGTAACGTTTCCATTGATTGAAGCATTCCTGGAACTGTTACGTCGCATTCTCTTTAACGTCCTGAAATATTGTTCTTTTCAAGTGTCATTTGGAAAAAAATTCGCAAGGAGTGAGATCTAGGGAATATGGCGGTTGTCGGTGCTAGGGAATGTTGCACATGGCCCAAAACTGCTGTACAAGCCATGTTCCCTGATCGGACGTCTGTAGTGTCGTGAGACGTCCACACTCTACACACGTTTCTTCCAAACACAGCTATAAAGAACGGGAGCGAGCGGGAATGTTAAAACTTAGTGCGTCTGTTCGACAGAGTTCAAGGTCAATCTGTATCAAGCGGCTTTAGGCTACGGACTTTAGCTCCGTTACCATAGCAACAGTCCCAATACTTTTTTCAGACCTCGTCTATAGGATTGATTTGATCAGAAGAAACATTATTCTGCCAGATGTTCCATTTAAGGAAGAAGCAGGTCACAATATTGATAGATCAATACATACAAAATCTATCTATCTATCTATCTATCTATCTATCTATCTATCTATCTATCTATCTATCTATCAGTTTGATAGTCTGATATAGATGGCGTTGCTAAATGAGATTATCCCTACTTTAATCAAGTCAGTCCTCACTCTCTTATTTTTTTTTCACTTCGTCCTTGCTTATTTTCTGTCGGATTTAATCGAACCTTATTCCACCGATTAAGCCAACGAACTGCGAGTTTTAGTAACTGTGGATTGACTTGTGTCTAAGAGAGAGAGAGGGGGAAAGAGAGAGCGAGGGAAGGAGAGTAAGAAGGAAAGAGAAAGAATGAGAGAAAGAAAGATAAAGAGATGGAAAGAAAAAACAGAGAGAAAGAGAGAGAGCGAAAGAGTGAAAGGGGGAGAAAGAGAAAATGAGATAGAGAGAGAGAGAGGAAGGGAAATATAGAATGGGAGAGAAAGAGAGAAAAGCGAGTGAGAAAGAGAGAAAGGGAAAGAGAGAGAGAGAGAGAGAAAGAGAGAGAGAGAGAGAGAGAGTAAGAAAGAGGGAGAGATAGAGATAAAGCGGGAGAAATCACTTCCAATATAGCATATTGGATGATTTCCTGCATAATAATGGAAAAATTGTTGGTTTTATTGCAGAATAGATTCATTTCGATAACAACGGGAAAACAATTTTTAGGTTTTGTCCGTCGCTTGCCTTGAGTAAAAGCCATTAATTTTCACAAAAAAAATATATATCTTTAAAAAAAAAGACAGGTTGGATCTCGTTTAATATTGTATGTCCTTATTGTTAATTTTTATTGTGTAAATTTCTTAGATGAGGATTTATCATAATTCACATCATTTATACTCTTCGCTATTCAAGGGAGAGTAAGACAAGTAAAATACTCACGTTCTATTTATCGCAACGTTTCCGTTTGTCTGATCCTAATCCGGGTCACCTTCAGGGAGTTTCGAAATGAACCTTTATTTAATGTTCTCAAAGACATAGGTTTCTCTTTCAGATTTTGTAAAGTCATATTCTGAAGGGAATATTTGAAGCTGATCATATCCTTTCGACATCTGTTTGGATTGCTACTTACAATTTTTGCACGGTCTAGTAACTTTCAAACAACACCTTTATTTACAATCTATGCATTGTAGGAGTTGAACTAAAGATATAGTCTTAATGTTGGCTTGTGATATATGAATGTTATGAATCAATTCTTTGATCGAATTGTTAAGTACAACCAGGAAGGCCAACTGATTATTGCTTTGGTTATTATATTGTGAACTGAATCGAAGATCTTACTTACTTCACAGGATTGAGCATTATCTATACAGCTTCAATGTGAGGCCAGAATATCAAGGTATTATCAACATCTCAGCCATATTGTTGGCCTCAGTGGTTCCATCTCTATAAACTATTTTCTCAAAGTATTCAATATATATGTTCGCCATCACTAATCACAACGGCTAACCCATAGCCAAGCCTTTCTCCTGTTGGTATATGTCAAACAGTAGTTTAAAGAATGTTGTCTGCGTGCAAAGTCTGCGCAATATTATCAGGTTATCCGTTAGGGTGTTAGTCTGATATTTTCACGACATAATAGTGTGAACAAGCCTACAACAACATCATCAAGAGCAGAAAGACTCCCGCCGCTGCTAGTAAACATAGGAAGTTTTATAGTGTTGGAAATACTTGTAACAGCTAAGGACTGAGGTTATATTATAGTGTAATGACTCAACATACAAATTCAGGTCCCTATCAGTCAGGCCAGTGAGGAGAACGTTCACGCTTATTTGAGACAGGACGTTGCCTTACATACGTCTTGGAAAACGCAGCCGTATTTTTCAGTAAAAAATGTGCGTTGTGTAAGCTGGAAAATACATTATATACATATACACGCGCTATCCCTGATATTGATCACTTATATATATATATTAAGAAATGGACAAGGTCCGACAATTTATTTATTAAAGACATTTTTATGTTTAACGTTGTTATTTATAGATACAAGTATTTAAGCAAATGCTCTGTTTATGATACACAGTATTAAATAACATTTACCGGCCTGAATGTCCGAGAAATTTTCATAGAAAATATTCGTTTTTTGACAGGATTCGAACCTGCATCCTATACGCTGACGTGCCTTAACTGTCTCGGCCACAAAGAACCTTACGGTACACAAGGTCGAATTTACTGTTTTTTATATATATATATATATATATATATATATATATATATATATATATATATATATATATATATATATATATATATATATATATATATATATATATATATATCACTACCAAGAATTAGAAACCCGGACAGTTACGTTATCAGGCAAACGTCATACCAACTGTACAAAAAGGGTCTCGGTGACGAAGATATAGCGAATTAGACTTGATATAGCGCCGCTCGATCACATATTCCGTAGTGGAACTCATCCAAGTTTCTCTTTTACCGATAGGACTGTACCCCACGAGCCACGAGTACTATCACCAAGCCACTCTGTCCATATATATATATATATATATATAATTGTTAGCAGGGCCGGTTCAAGAGTCTCAAGTCGCCTGCACCCCCACCCCCCAATCTATGATATATGGCCACCCACTCTATTACATCTTAATTTTTAGCATTCATATTAGATACAAATTTTATTGTAATCTAATTAGGAACAATTAAATTAGAAATATTCACAATAAATTCAATGACTTTGATTAATTATCAGTTCCCCGACTAAATACAAATTAGAGACATGTCATTCTCTAGATCCTTCCATCCTTCCATTTTAAAGAAATCAACAATGTTTTACCGCAATTTTTAACATCAAATTTGAGATTTTTCTTGCTAAAAGTTGAATAATTTGTAAACATTCAACGTTTCAATAAAGAATAGTGAATTTTATATAGTTTTTTTTTTAGCATGAGCAAAAGAAATTCACAGATTTAAACGAAAAATTCATCCTTTTCTCGTCAGGTGTAATTTGTTTAATTTGTAACGTATATAAATGTAGGTGGAAAAAAGTAAATGATGGTAAAATAGACCGGGGTACCCAATCAACCTTGCCCCCCACCCCCACCCCCTACCTCGGCCCGGGGGGGGCGTTCGAATGTAGTACGCACCGGTCATGATTATTAGCAAGTTACATTTGTGCTTCCTAATATTTTGATGAATATCTACACAGACAAAAGAAAGAATAGAATGAAGGGAAATGGAAAGAGAGAGAGAGAGAGAGAGAGAGAGAGAGGAGAGAGAGAGAGAGAGAGAGAGAAAACGAGTGTGTGTGAGTGAGAGAGAGACGGAGAGAGAGAGAGAGAAAGAAGGAGTGTGTGTGTGAGAGAGGGAGAAAGAAGGAGCGTGTGTGTGTGTGTGAGAGAGGGAGAAAGAACGAGTGTGAGAGAGAGAGAGAAGGAGGGAGAGAGAAATAATTTGTGTGGGAGGGAGAATTAGAGAGAGAAAGAGAGAGGGCGAGAGAGAGAGAGAGGGAAGAACGAGTATGTGTGTGAGAGAGAGGGAGAAAGGACAGGTGAGAGAGAGAGAGTGAAAGAGTGAAGGGAGGGTGAGGGAGAGAGAAAGAACGAGTGTGTGTGAGAGAGAGAGAGAGTGAAGATGGGAGAGGGCAATTTGTAATAAATAAATGTTAAATAAATTAACTGGGCTAGCGACTTTGAATAATTCACAGTTCTTCCACTAGATGTCTCTAAAATGCTACTTCAGAAACGGAAGGTAGGTAGGTTTGAGGAGAACATGAAAGTAAAAGAGAAGAGGGAGCTTCATAGACAGAGAGCGAGAAAAAGAAAAATAGAGAGAAAAGTCCGGAAGAGGTTGTTGGTTTGGCGTTTGGAAGGGTGTGGCCGTCTGAAATGAAATCGTGAACGCAGACACCAATGTCACCGGAGACAAGAGTCACGATTCGGAGAAGCGATGAAACCCGGAGAAAACGTGGCCAATGAAAACTTGGAAGACGACTGGGCGGAACGTGACGCCAGTCGAATATATTTCTATGCACTTATTCTATGTTGGTGTCCGCGGGGATAGCGATCGCGCTGTGGTCGCCCTGGTGAAAGCTGTAATATTAATAACAGTATTATTGTCACGTTCACTGAGCCAGTTAAATAAACACCATCTTTGCAAGCACGACTTCTATCTTCTATGCCAGCATTTTTCCTTCTTGCTTTCTCTCTGTTTTGATCTGTTATTCTTTCTCGATCAGTCTTTATTCTTCTTTTCATTTTTCCCGACCAGTCTTGTAGCGACGCCGGCCAGAGTCATTTTCTCTGTGTTTCCATTTGAGGCGACAAAAGGATGTGGAATATCGCAAATCCTGGCCCGCTGCCTTCTTACAAGCCAGTGGAAGTGAAGTATTCATCATCATTTTTGCGGCTGTCTCTCTAGATAAATCATTAAGTTTCAATCGCTGATATTTTTACAAAGCCTATTAACTTTATTTAAATTAATTCTATGTGGACTATTATCCTCATCTTTGTTGTTGTGATCACAATATTAACTTTAAATCTTTATTGAAAACTTATTTTAAATATGTAAGTAAACGGAAAAATTTAATAAATAATTACATATTTTATTCAGAACCAAAGTAAAAAATCGTTTCGGCATATATGAATGATTGATTTGTTTTTACGGCTTATCAACCCTTTACAGGTTATTTAAAGCCAGAAAATATTTTCTTTTAGATTGTAAGATTCTTTTTTGAGATAATAACGATTTACTGATGCAAGTCCTACTAATTAACTCATAGCTGTGGGGAGAAGAGGTGGATTCATACCATTCCCAACGGTCTTTCCGCGTAGGTGAATAAAATGAACACAACTGGAATTGGAACTCGGTTCTCCTATTTCATGTCGTTATCCATTACATCACTCATACATCCAAACTTACAACACCTGGTCTTCCCAAGCGGTCACCCATCCTAGGTACTGACCAGGTTCAACATTGCTTAACTTAGGTGACCGTACGAGAACCTGTGTTTCAATGCGATTTGGCCGTAGCCTCGCGATATATGATCATTCTACAGGAGTCGATGTGTCATAAAATCCCATTCAAAACTAGAATCAAGACATTTAAAGACAAAAAAAAAAAAACTAATTAAAAAACAAAAGAAACTTGTATAGTATTTAGTTTATATCTCCTCAAATTTTGGTCATTCAAGACAGCAGAAGTGTTGAAACAAAATGTCTATATTTGTAGTGATTTTATAACATATTTATGCTATAATTTTCGAATATTACCCCAATATATATAATCATTTCACCCCAAGCAAGGTAATGAAGTCACTAAGGCGCAAGAGAATATGAGAAAAATATTATTATGGAGCGAGAGCAGTAAAAAACAAAAGTTAATAATTGACATGGCATTTAAATTTTTGTAGATTCAACGCAAGAAGCCAGAAGGGAGTACTACAAACGAGATTTTCGAGAGAAGAATCTGTTAGCATAGAACTTACGGTTACATCTAGCCATTTTATCTGCAATACTAGGCGCCAATATAATACTACGATTCAATCCGTAAAATCGAGGTACCAAAGAGGAAAGCTCATCAGAACAATTACCATGAAAATATTTGTAGAAAACGCACAGTAAAAATACGTTATGATGATGGGAAAGTGACTGAAGCCGAGATGCCAGTTAGGACCGGTAACATTGCAGATTCTTCTTTGGATTTTGTATGAGTAGTTGCCAAAACATATTTAAAGCTTTCGGCTATTCTCGGATACACTACCGTGTCATTCTAAAATCAATTCTTTTAATGGGAAGATACTGTCTACAAGATGGATCTCGGAAATTGCTTGACTCTACACAATATTATATCGTTATCACATTTAAAGAAGTAATAATATTAATTGAAATGCAGATTTTGTGATGAAAACAGTCAGTATTTTTTTCTTCAATAGCTTCAGTGATATAAGCAGACCATTATATACGAATTGATAACCTAAAACGTCGCTTGTATTTAGGATAAACTCTAATAATCATAACAAAAATGTCCTCTCATTGAAAAACATGACTTTGACGTACCGAACCGGAGAATCGCTTTCTCTTTCGTTGATCGTATTTCATGAAATTCCTGTGAGAAAACGACACGCTCTTTGGCTTGACAGCTAACAGAATAATGATGTGAAGAAAATATTTTATTGAACCGTCCTAAACTCAAACGTGTACAGCTGAACATATAACATCAGAATGGAAAAGAAATCGTTATAAGTAAAAAAAAAAAAGAAATTGTTCACCGATTTCATTTGGTGAGTGAATATTTTATTGTTATTTCGTGATTTACTTTCAGTCGAAAAAGCTTTCTTCAACTACGACTGGTAAACGTTTTAATAATAAATATTCCAGATTCAATAGTCTACGACTATTATCATTACGTATAGAATATTTACGATTTATGGTCGAGCAAGAGGCTACAGTTTTCATTCGGTAAAATTCGATATTTTTGACAGAAGGAAAATACAGAATGAACAGGAATCATTAAAAATTGGATACCAAATTGTTCTACACAGAAGATATGTTAGTAGACACAAATGCATCGGTGGGAAAATTTTGGGAATTATGAAAGCTTCATTTACTGAATCGAAATCACGAAGCACATAATGAGCAATAAATAACTGAAGAATTTTGCCAGAAGGATATTTCAAGATTTCCAACCAAACCAGAATTCCAAGAGGGTATCAGCATATAAAGTGTTTCTATTTTGTCGTCACAATAGTTTAATATTTGTAACGCTTGATAAAAGGCACGTTACAAGGAACGAATTTTTAGAAAAACTACATTATGCATGTGAAGATTTTATTCAATAAATTGTCAACATGGAAACATGTATAAAGCTGTTTTTTTTTCCAGAAATGCGTTCATTGTAACATGCTCTCAGTAAGATCTGAGTTGCTTCATTTAGAAAAGAACTGGGCCTAACCTAAAATGCAATGAAAAACTTAAAATATTCCTCTGCCAATTTAGATTAAGCAGTTATCTTAAGATTGAACATACAGGTAATAATGCTGCAGTGTAATAAATAATCATATCTACAAATCAATACGTTTACCTGTTTGAAAATAAATGGTGGGTAAACAATTCAATCTGTTATTTTTACTCTAACATAACGTTGCACTTGGTGTATTATGTAGCCATCCAGAACCTGGTCTACTGGTTCATTTGACTATTGTTTCCAACATGAAAAACTAGTGGCGTGCCATGTGCCGCGATTCCCTGAAATAACGAAAACCCTCCTAATTGCCCACAACTTGACTCCGTGCAAACGACTCTAAGTGAACAAAAGGAACAGGTATCCAAGGATTGACACCTGCTTGCACGTGTCACATTCCCTATGCTGAGCCTCACTACAGCATTCGTCGCTATTGCACAGATTGCGCGAAGGTGTGAATGCTACTATGTCAAACGATCGTAGAAGATATTGGAAATTATATCAGAATATTTATTAAATCATTGCAAATGTTCGTGAAAATTAAAATCAAAGTTTTACATGCCGAAAAATTTTATTAGTCAAGTATACAGTCTACATTGTTTTAATAATTGTCTCCAGTCTTTCTGCAAATTTGTTGGTGCCATTTTATGGGGAGAATGTTTTGAGGTAGTTTTCGGCAGACAAGCACAGAGTCAACTTTTTTGTCATTTAAACTGTTCTTTAAAGATCGAAAGTCAGAAGGAGCCACGTCAGAAGAATATGGTATGTGCTGGAAGGTGGGGGTTACACTTTAATTCTTTAAGCTTCTACAAGGTTTGTAATGCAGCATGCGATCTTGCATTGTCTTGACGGAAAATAATAATTTTTCATTTGCCAAAATCGGCCGTTTTTTTTTAACAGCTTCATTGAGATTGGTGAGTTGGTCTCGATACTTCTTTGGCCTTATTGTTTCGCCGACTGGAAGAATCTCAAAATGAATTACCCCTCAGAAATGCTACCAAATGGATAACACCACCTTTTAGCCACGGGTTCTCCACATACACAAGATCGTTTCCAGCTCCGTTTGCATCGAACGTTATCATAAACGATCGATTTTCTATCGTACCTGTGACCATTCTATTTGTCATGGGTCCTTACCTATAACTACAGAATGAACTCTTCCTAAAACTATGTATACTACGCATCTCAAGAGAGAGGGACGAATCGAGTCGGGCCGATAGTAGTTTACTCCAAACCAGACTGACAGTCATACTAACACCTTCCACTTCTTGTATTATTATTTCGTGTAATATACCTTCGTTATTTCTACTCTATTTCTACGTTGTGTTCGTGTTGTTCTTCCTTGGTCCTAACCTGGACCTTAACAGTGGCGACGAGGATATTGAAGAAACGAATTCTACGCGGAGGATATAAAAAAACAAAAAAACAACCCTTTTTGCTATCGGTCGTGCATAACAGAGCCGACGGAGATATTGAGAAAAAAAACAAAAAAAAAAAACAACAAAACTAAACAAAAAAAAAAAACCCACAAGTTCTACGCGAAGATAAAAGATAAAAAACTTTTTGGACACCAACCATAACAGTGGTAACGAAGACACGAATTTTACCTGTCAGCCAGAATAGAATCGAATTCTATGCAGGAATTTTTTTCGTACCGAGATTCCAGAATATCAGACGACAAAGACCTGAAGTTTACACCGCCAAAAAAGGAAAAATCGTTACACAACTACACAACTCAAGCTACAAAGTACATATTGCGAAAAGAAAAAGTAAGGAAAAAAAGTGAGTTTTTTTCCTCCTCTTCTCGTGACAACAGATAGCCTGTGTTATTATTAAATTACGGTGTACACATGGGAGACTTTAAGGCAACCACATTGGAACTAATGAAAATGCAATTCGAGCAGAAAAAAAAATGAGGAAAGACAGACTAGGCTCGAAGAAAAACAATTAGAAATTCAACAAAAAAACGAAGAAAAGCAACTCGAACTACAAGAATTACTGCTACGGGCAGTAACAAATAAAGGACAAAATTCTGAAAATGAAGCGGCATTCTCGCAAAATGCTATATGGAGCTCAATCAAAGACTTCACTTATGCCCCGGACGAAGATAAAACCTTCACGGCTTACTTTAGAAGATATGAAGATTCATATGATTTGATTGCGGGAATTGGTCAGACGCGGAAAAGGAAACTAGGGTCAAGCGAATACACTAAATTCGTAGACTACATCCTACCGAGGAAAACGAATGAGTTGACTTTCAGGGAAGCCGTGAAACATTTAACGGAATTATTTAGTTCGAACACTTCACTATTACACAAAAGCTGGAAATTTTTAAATTTAACAAAAAAGGATTGCGAAGACTATATAACATTCGCTTCTGTAGTAAACAAACCCTGCGAAGACTTTAAGTTATCTGAACTCAACCCTGACAATTTTAAAAGTTTGATATTCGTCCAAGGCCTGGTTTCGACTAAAGATGCTGAGATCAGACGGAGAATTCTAACAAAACTTGAGAGTGAGCCAAAACTAACGCTACAAAAATTGGCTGAGGACTGTCAGAGATATATAAGCGTAAAAAGGACTCGAAAGATATCGAAGAGACTGGCATCGCTCACATACGAAAAGTACAACGACAAACACGTTTTTCTCTCTCCTCAAAAACAAACCAAACCAATTATTTTACTACAAAAAGTCAAATGAAACCTCAGAAGAAACCACCACCCAGCACATGCTATCGCTGTGGGACTTTACATTGGTACAAATATTGTCAATACCGCTATAAGACTTGACTGTCGTGCAATGAAGTGGGACATGAAAATTCGCACTGTAGAACAATGAACGAAAACCAAAGCCAAGTAAGAGTCACTAGAACTGACCAAGCGGACGGGATAAATATACGAAAATTCGTACAAGTAGAAATGTTAAACAAAAACATCAGATTACAATTAGATTCCGGATCAGATTTAACCATTATTAACTTACAGACGTGGAAGAAATTAAACAAACCGACTATGTTGAGAACAGATAAAATAGCCAGGTCGGTAACAGGAAGAAAAATCAAATTTGAGT